CAGATTTTCAAACAGTTGTATCTCGACCAAATATTGTATCCTATCCTAACAAACCATACATCAGTGGAAAGCTTATTCATTCAGCGTTCATGTGATGCATAAATCTCAATTTTGAAAAATTGACCCTTATGACTGGTTTTGTGGTCCAGGGTCTCAAATCTGATAACAAAATCAAAAGTAAAAAAAAAAAATGTTTAATGTATTGCAGCTGTTTACAGTGTTATATTTGTTAAAGATGACGTTTAATCAGAGCTTTTTTACTCGTGTCTTTACATTCATGATCATATTATGTTGTAAATGAAGCAGAATAAGCTTATCGATACCTGTGACAGACGGGACTCTCCACAGCCGGATCTGCTGCACTCTGACCCGCTCTGTGTTCACTTCATAGCAGCGGGTTCATGGAGGACAGAGGAGCTCAGTGTTCCTGGGACATGTAGTTAATCATGGAGTTCATCGTGTAGTTCATTTAGTTTATCCTACTTCATGTGGAATAAACGGACAGAAAAGCGACAAACATAAACTCAGTCGCGCGGGGCTTATTGAATCGGACGTAATTGGTCTAAATAATTATGCTATTTTTAATTTGCCTTGTGCGTTTACAATTTAATCAGTTAAAGTCATCGGTGTCATTTTTAGTTGCTGAGGCGACACGTAGACGGCGCTGTCACGTGATACCAATTACTTTTCACAGCGCTGTTAGGAAGAGCCAATCACATCCGTTTGTGATTACAAGAGAGGATTACATTTTCTATATATTGCTTGGATGACATACAAAACATACATTTGATAAGCGCAAACCTAATACAATCCTAACAGATCCAAATAGAACAAAAATAAATAAATAAATAAACGTAACAACTATAATAATAATTTAAAATAACTACAGAGGAATGTTTACAGTGAAGTGATTACAGATCTCTGATGAGGTCTGAATTCTGAATGTCTCAATAAAATATATGTAAAATAACTAAATAATAAATGTAAAAATAACGTAATATTTATCCGCTGAAATGTCCATGATATTTTTGACATTAAAAATAAAAAGTGAACTAAAAAGTAGAAAAGTGACTAATTACTTAAGGATTTTGTTAATAATGTCATGTAGCTGGAATGTTTTCACAGTTGTCATACTTTTTTACTTGGTGGCTTTGTTTTTGAAACTCAGTTTAGACATTAAAAGTATTGACCTAACTAACTAACTAAATAAAAAGAGCACTTACACTGTTATTGCCTGGGGGGGCGTTCATTTAAAGGGGTCCTATTATGCTTTTTCACTTTTTTAATTTTAGTCAGTGTGTAGTGTGTATGTTTGGGCATAAAAACGATCTATCTAGTTACAAATCTCAAAGTTCACTCCAAAGGGAGATATTTCGTTTTTAAAAAATCCCTTTTCAAGAACTACAACGAACGGCTCGTTTGGACTACAGCATTTGTTTTCCGGG